CCAGAAAGCAACTTTTCCAAGCTTTGACCTGGACCCTGGAATCGATTCCAACTTTCATTACAGTCATCGGCTTGGCGTGTGTGTTCTCCTTGATCAAAACAGATGGCAAAGATCTCAGCGGGGAGCCCTAATACCTTGCTGTGAATCATCCCAATCAATCTGTATATATATCAAACTTTAGGCATTTCCTCCGCTTCCAGGGAGCAGTGAGAGAGAGAGAGGCCCATTGCAGGCAGCCTCTTCTGATGCTCAGCAGCTTTGCCTGATGCTTAATCTGATCCTCCCTGCAGTTTCAACTCAGCGCTTTGCCTAAAGAGAGCTTTGAAGTTAATTTTGTCTTTCCGCTTTCACAGGTGGAATGTCTGAGAGATGCCAAGGAAAGCCAAAGTGGGTTGGTGAGATGAACAGATTTTTATGGGAGAAATTTCATAACCCAGCCCCATTAAACCACTCTCTCATTCTGACCTGGGTCCCAAATTGCACTGTTGGAGCATAAGACTCTGCCAAGCATCGCTACATCTCCTCTCCCTCCTTTCCTCGCTTACCAATGCGGTGCCAGAATCCTCCCACTAATGATTAAGGCAAGACAATGGCTGGCCAGGAAGCATTCAGCTATGTTCCTACAGTTGACCCCAGGAAGAAGATTCATCCTCCCAGACCCCTGGAAGAGTCCTAGGATAACTAAGGGGGTGCCTGATCCTTCTATCGGCTGGCTGCTAAAAGTCCAAATTGCAAGATGGAACTGTAGCAGTTAAAGTGGAATCAAAGTGGTATCATTTTCTAAGATGGATACACCTGCTGTCACTCCATTTCCATCATTTTACTTTCTTTGCATACTTTTGCAAACTATATTTGACTGATAAAGAAAGACTATGAGGTTCAGAAGGTGTTGTGTTAATAGGGAGAAATGTAAGGTAATGCACATAGGCAGGAAAAAATGAAATTCATAGATATAGGATGGGGGACACTTGGCTTAACAAGATGACATGTGAAAGGGATCTAGGAGTCCTAGTGGACCACAAGTTGAACATGATTCAACAGTGTGATGCGGCAGCCAAAAAGGCCAATGCAATTCTAGACTGCATCAATAGAAATATTGTGTCTTGATCAAGGGAAGCAATTGTGCCACTCTATTCTGCTTTGGTCAGGCCTCACCTGGAATAATATTGTATCCAGTTCTGGACAACACAGTTCAAAAAGGATGTTGAGAAGCTGGAGTGTGTCCAGAGAGGGTGACCAAAATGGTAGAAGTGCTGAAAATTGTCAAGCCCTATGAGGAGCGCCTTAGGAAGCTGGGTATTTTTAGCCCGAAGAACAGAAGGTTAAGAGGTGATATGATAGCCCTGTTTAAGTATTTGAAGGGGTGTTAAGGATGGAGTAAGGTTGTTTTCTGCTACTGCAGAGAACAGGACACGAAACAATTGATGCAATCTATAGGAAAAGAGATTCCACCTAAACATTAGGAGGAACTTCCTGACGGTGAGAGTTGTTCAACAGTGCAACACAGTCCCTCAGAAATTGTGGTGGGGTCTCCTTCTTTGAAGGCCTTTAAACAGAGGCTGGATGGCTATCAGCCGGGGGTGCTTTGGTTGTGAGCTCCTGCATGGCAGAATGGAGTTGGACTGGATGCCCTTGTGGTTTCTTCCAACTCTTATGATTCTATGTGATGAATTTTGTACCTTTGGGTTGGCCCCATAAAGACATCACAGCAACATGAGCTTTGGATTTTGTTTTACAGTCAGACACATCTCCCCTTGCAATTTTCTTGAACACAGTCTCACCTCCCATTCGCTCAGCTGAATCACTCCATTGAGTCATCCCCATCAATTCCCTCTCTCTCTCTCTCTCTCTCTTTCTCTCGCAGCCTCTTCCTCTGGCAGACTCATCCCTTGTTTATGACACCTTGGTGAACACATGAGTGCGCGAAGCTAGTGCTTCAATGCCTTGGCCTGCTGCAAGGTTGTGTGTGTGTGTGTGTGTGTGTGATTTCATAGAGTCCTTTGGCTCCTTTCCAAGGAGTGCAATTGGTCTGATGCTCTTATGTTTCATGCACATGCTACAAAAAGAGCCTGAGTTACCCAGTCAGAGTAGGAAGCAGATTTATTAGCCTCCTCCAATTTCATCTCTTTGTGTTTAAGCCCTTTTCTCTCCTCCTCTCCCTGGAAAGATGGGTGGACTGAGTGCTGAGTTTCCCAAGAGGAAGAAGGAGATGAGAGAACTAGATGAAGTGCTGCCATTAATTTTGCTCCTTCCTCAGTAGCTCAGGGTGAGCTGCCCAGGTAAATCATGGCTCCTACTGAGATGCAGAAAGGCTCATCCCTGAGAGGAGGAGGAGGAGGAGGAGGAGGAGTAAATGTGAGCAAGATCTACAGACAGAGCCAAGAAAGTGGAAACTGACAAAAGAGTTCCGTGGAAACTGCAAGGTTGGCTTTTATCGCTGGCGGGGCAGTCTCCACATTAGGCCACCTAGTTTGTCTCCTTTGTCCATGTAGTAGGCTCTTGTTTGGAGGAAACAGAGAGTTCAGGTGTTCCCAAAGTCTTCATTGATTGAATAGTCTGGCTTTTTAACCAATTAATGGATTAGATTTTAAAATCAGTTGTGCACAATGTCATCTTTGAAGTTCTCCAGGAGGGAAAATTCCCCTTCACTCTGGGGGTTTCAATGATCCACAAGCGCAACACAAGTTCTGATACCACAAGCTACGATACAATGGCCAGATTTTTTGTTGCATCCATAGGAGTATCATGTCCAGATGGAGAAATATGGTAATACCACTCTTTTCTAGTATGGTCAGATCTCACCAGGAACACTTTGTCCCATTCTGGGCACCCCAATTTAAGAAAGATATTGGAGAGCTGGAATGTGTCCAGGAGACATCAAGCAGATGGTAAACGGACTGGAAACTAAAAGTCCTTCCAGGATAAACTTCAGGAGCTGGCAATGATTAACTTGAAGAAGAGAAGATTGAGAGGTGACATAATAGCCATATGTAAATAACTGAAGGGTTGTCATGTAGAAGATGGAACAAGCTTGTTTTCTGCTGCTTCACAGACTAGAACATGAGCCAATGGATTCAATGTACAAGAAAAGAGATTCCACCTAAACATTAGGAAGAACTTTTTTTTTACTGTAAGAGGTGTTCAAAACTATCTTAGAGGGTGATGGACTCTCCTTCTCTGGAGATCTTTGAACAAAGTTTGGATGGGCATCTCTCAGGAGTGTTTTAGCTGTGTAATCCTGCATGGCAAGGGATTCGACTTTAATCATGGAATCATAGAATTGGAAGAGACCCCTGCAGGAATACACAATCAAACCATTCCTGACAGATGGCCATTGGGTCAAAATGCATCCCAGTACTGCACCTTCCTTAGAGCCAGGAATCCCTCCAAACAAGGAGTGCCTTTCCACACCAAACATCTCAGAAAGTGTGAAAACACCATTTTAGTTTAGATTCTTGAGCCAGCAAGATTTCTTCCTATCTCTAGACTCATCCTGGCTTTCACCTATAATTTAAGCAAAAGCCCTCAGTGGAGAAATTTTGAGCCAGACTATTCTTACTCTTGAACTCATCACCAGGACCTGTTGGCCCTTGAATCCTATTGTCAGTCTAACTAGAATACACCCAATGAATCAGTAGGACTTACCCATTTGTTGATTCATGATTTAACAATTGATTCAATGGGTCTACTCTGT